ATACACTGAAACTAACGCAATCTATAGTATCAAGTGAAAGTGGGTAGGGTAACGAACATACTTGAGTGGACACAATTCTCAAACAGGACTGACTATACAAGAGCTGCTGGATAGGGGCGTCACAGCAACAGGAACAACATGAACGGCAAATGTGAGAGACGAAAAAAAGACAGATATTCAGCGAACAAAATCAATTGTATTGCATCGAAAATACATGCACCAATTCAATCGCATCCGACAGTTTATGCACCGATAGACCGGATAACGGTTCCATTTGATAAGTGCGTGGATTTGGACGTCATGATCAGTTGTAGGAATGAGTGACTGGATGTTGTGACCAACAGTCCGAAAGACACTTGTGTACGACCGTACTGTGTTCACCCTTCAAGACCGGCTTCTTGACCAATGGCAACCAGTTGACGGGCACGATAACGCCAGTAGTTCGCACGAATTCGATCGACTTCTGTAGCCAATCGGTCACAGGTAGATAAAGCTAATTCCAGTAGATCGGAAAGCGATTCCTGCACGACTGGTTGTCCATCAGGCCCAAGCTTAGTTTCTTCTGAGGTCTTCTGCACATTAGAGCCCGCGGTAAATTTAGTTGGCACAGTGCTGCAGAAAAAAAAACAAGCAAGTTGAATGCGAACATTACGAGGTTTGCTTTTAAACTCAGGTACTTCTGTAAACATAAAAAGACACCATCGTGAAAAAAGTCCCCATCTATAGTTAGGCTGTTTGCCGCGAGCACAAACCGTGTCAAGTTGATTTGATATTTTCAATTAGACTAATTCTCCACTAACAATAAAAGCATATCCGCGTAGCTTTTTCCATCACGAAGAGTGATAACACATTCAAGAGATCTAACGAAGTTGGAACTGTCAATGGTATCTTTTTCATGGGTTCTGTTTATAGCTGCTATAATCAATGCAGTGGAACAGTGTGTTTTGACACCTTTTAGTACTCATGTTTCAACCGAGACCGGATGGCAATGTGCAAAATTACCCTCACTAACACGCAACAACGTCGGGAGTGGGTGTCTAGGGTTGCGGCTGGTCGCCCTACCCTTGCACCTCGCGAAATACTCTCATACGACCAAGCGCCTCAAACAGCCTCTGCTGAGGAAGCCCTATTCACTGCCTTCTCGTGGCGGAGGTGTTTTCCCACCAAAGTGAGAGGATGAAAAGCTGACCTCCGGGGCTTTAACCGGGTTGGTGGACCACTGGTAGTTTACCAAGGGGATTTTGTCAAAAACCCTGATTCCAAACCAACCAAGAGGAGGCGTACCAACCACACACATACACACCTTCCTGGTTGTGGTCACCGGTTCGATTGGGCATCAAAGTGTTTGGGGCACCTTGGACTTCGACCCCGTCCAAAAGGCGTATGATCCGACGAACTGGACACCTGCTCCCAATGGATTAT